TCCTCCCAGATCTGGACGAGAGCATCAATGAGCTCCTGGACAGTCTGAGGTGCAACCTGGCATTGTCGGATGAATCGAAACATAATGTCCCAGAGGTGTTCTATTGGATTTAGGTCAGGTGAGCGTGAGGACCAATCCATGGTATCAATTACTTTATCCTCCAGGAACTACCTGCATACTCTAGCCACATGAGGCAAGGCATTGTCATGCACCAGGAGGAACCCAGGACCCACTGCACCAGCATAGGGTCTGACAATAGATGCAAGGATTTCATCCCAATACCTAATGGCAGTCAGGGTTCCGTTGTCTAGCCTGTATAGGTCTGTGCGTCCCTCCATGGATATGCCTCCCCAGACCATCAATGACCCACCACCAAACTGGTCATGCTGAACAATGTTACAGGCAGCATAACGTTCTCCACGGCTTCTCCAGACCCCTTCAGGTCTGTCACATGTGCTCAGGGTGAACCTGCTCTAACAGGGCGCCAGTGGCGGACTTGCCATTTCCGGTGCCCGGGCAGTGAGCACAGGGCCCACTAGAGGACGTCGGGCCCTCAGGCCACCCTTGTGAAGTCTGTTTCTGATTGTTTGGTCAGAGACATTCACACCAGTGGCCTGTTGGAGGTCATTCTGTAGGGCTCTGGCAGTGCTCCTCCTTGCACAAAGGAGCAGATACCGGTACTGCTGGTTGTGTGTAGATCTTCTACGGCCCTGTCCAGCTCTCCTGGAGTAACTGCCTGTCTCCTGGAATCTCCACCATGCTCTTGAGTTTGTGCTGGGAGACACAGCAAACCTTCTGGCAATGGCACGTATTGATGTACCATCCCGGAAGAGGTGCACTGCCTGTGCAACCTCTGTAGGGTCCAGGTAGCGCCTCATGCTAACAGTAATGACAGTGACTCTAGCCAAATGTAAAACTGGTGCAAAAAAAGTCAGAGAAGATGAGGAGGGGAAAAATGTCAGTGGCCTCCACCTGTAAAACCATTCCCTGTTTTGATGGTCGTCTCGTTGTTGCCCCTCTAATGCACCTGTTGTTAATTTCATTAACACCAAAGCAGCTGAAACTGATTAACAACCCCCTCTGCTACTTACCTGACCAAATCAATATCCCAGAAGTTTAATTAACTTGATGCTATACTCAGATTACAAAGTGTTCCTTTAATTATTTTGAGCAGTGTATTTAGACTTAAAAAATAACTATTAAAACACCATCAGGTTGGATGCTTAGAGTATATAGCCTTATTTTATCATAATCAACTGGATTTTAGTCTTTTTGGTAAAGGTATATAACCTGACTATGTACCTTTAAGTTTAATGTAAAGGTCGTACATGTATCTTAGCTCCGATTCTCTCCGTACGAGGATGTCCCGTATCTGGTCAATCTTGAACAGCTCTCCTTCTATCTCCTCAATCGTGACTGTAGAGTCGGCCATTGAGATCACATCATCTGCTGAAAGGCAGAAAAGAGATATTTTTAGATATATTTCTCTCAGATTAAATACACTTTTGCTAAATATGGGACTAGCTTATAAAACGTTTAAAGAAAGAAAGTCTTTGAAAGGTTCACTAAAGTAATTTTTTTCTAATAAGCCTTAATTTCAAAAAGGTATTTCTAACTTCCTATTTTAACACACTGTAACATATGGCCCATGCTAAAGTCAATATTCCTTAGGTAATACTTGTACCTCAGGTACAGCTTTGAAATATTTAAAATATCCTTTTTAATGAACTTTCAACTGCGCTAAAAATTTCCAAGTATTTGGCCCATTGTGCAATTCCTATATCAACACATTATCAGCAGCATTTTCAGCAGCAACTCTTTCATAAGTGACTAAAATTGTTTCTTTACTATATTAAGAATACAAAACATGCTTTAAGTAAAAAAACAAAAAACAAGTAAATAAAAAGAATAATTATACTGAAAAAGCCTATTCAGAAACAATTGGAGACTTCCCTCCACATTTTTCCAAACATCACTGAACAAGCAGCACTCCCTCCTGCAGCCCCCACTCACCAGCAGCAGAGATGAGTCATCCATCCAGCAGAGCTTTCATTGGCTTTTAATTATCTGACCTTGGTTAATTGGGCATAAAAAATTACACTCACTGACTGGGAACAACAACACACACTAAAGTTCTGAAAGAAGAGTTTCTAAAACTGCCATGGTCATAGTTCAGATGAGTGTTTTGTTGTTTTGCTTTATAAAAATCTGCATTTTGGCATTAACATAATGATCAAAACCTAAAAAAAAAATAAAAAGCATCAGACAAAATACCTTTTCGTAACAAATTAGGTTTCTCATTTTTTATTATCAAAATCAAAGAGTTAGATTCTGGTTATTCTTTCTAATATAAAAAGCAAAGTACCCTGGTCTACTAGTTTGGGGCAGACCAAAAGCTGACTTTACTTTTACTATTTGGTTCAGTTTGCTTTCAAATTGTAATTTTTGCCTTTTACCATCGGGGTCCTTCATGTAAAACATCCGTTTTGTATATCTGTGTTGTTTTTGCAGATACAAAATCATTTTAAGATTCAAGAGCAGCTCATTCAATGGAGATTTTGAGATATTTTATTCCTAATATCAGAACAGTGTGGAAGAGCATATTCTGCATCATGTTACCAGCAGTATTGAAATAATGACAGACAAAAAACAAAATGATTAATACCTGCTTAACAATATAGTTCAACAAAAAATGTAGCGATTTTCTGATGTAGCTTGCAAAGGGATCACTGAATTGTAGTTCCTAACAGTAAAATACGGGAGCCAAGGCATGTAAATGCAGTGCAAACAAAGGATTCCAAATAAAACTCAAAAGGCCCTGTAAACATAGAAACACGATGGAGCAAATATAAAAACGTCACTAGCAAACACAAAAGTAGGACTAGCAAACAGGAAAAAAAAAAACAACAAAAGGGCTAAAATCACAAAAAAATAGAGAGTGGCAAAGTGGAAGAATCCTGCAAGCCAATTCAGAAATTAATTTTACATACAAAGGAAATTTGCAAAGGAAATATGCTGCAAGTAGCACAAACAACTGATGTATAATTCCTGAGTTAGCTCGTCAATTTTTTTCTTTTCACAGAACTTTTCTAATTGGATATTTTTATATATTTTGTAAAAAAAAATGTTTTAAACATTTAACTCCACACTGCTTTGGGAACTATTCAATTTTACCTTTAATCAAAATGAACTATTATCAATGAATTTGGAAAGCTTTTACTTATTTTTTTTAGATAAATCATAATTTTCTGCATTAAATTTTTGTAATAATGATTGGTTTATTTTCTAGACAAAAACATATTCATTTCTTAAACAAGAGAAATCTGCTAAGGGTAACAGCAAGTAGAATGACTGCATATGTTATGATTATAAAACCAATGTGTAGCTTAACAAAAGCTATACGTTACTTAATTCAAATTATAACCTAACTGTCCAAAAAACTTTTGACAATTTGAGTAACCCTAAAGCTTCTGATCGATTCTTTCCGTCAACCAAATCAAAAATTGCACAAGATTTTGATATTAAATTAATGTCTTGCAATAAATATCTTTTTTTTTTTATATATATTAAGGTTATGTTTATTTTTAGTCTTGTTTTTTATGTAATCTGTTGCATGATCCTGACTACAGTCTGTTTTAAAAAAGATTTCTCATAAGAAGCTTGCTTTTGAAAATAAGAGACTTGACTCTAGTACATGGTATTTACCAGTACAAATGAAGGTCACAGCTGTTTAGAATGAAAACTGTGCCATAAAATATCAGATTGGAAAAAAAAAAGAAAAGTCAGAGAGTATAAAAACACATTGTCTGATAAGTAGATCCTGCAAAAAGGAGCTTCAAAGTGTGGCCCCAGACGAAGGTACTTTTTATCAGTTCCTTCGTCGCCCCAGAGCTTGGGCTCCTGTGTTCGAATTTGAGCATGTGGAAAATGTTTCTTGCCAGCAAAGGTGTTCAATGCAAACATATGTTTTATATATATTAACATATGATAGAATTATTACCATAAATTAAGATCTTACTACTATTAGTTTATTAACACATTGATTTAGCATTTTGTCTGCTGTTGATGCCATCGTGGGACTAATAGGCAATCAATTAATCAATTATCAATTAATCAATGCGTTATTATCCTAAATTCAAATTTAATGCATTTAATAAAGATAACAAAACCAAATCTCTTGACAATAGCAGTAATAATAATAAGGTTTTGCAGAATAAACTCACGTGGTTTTTCCATCCCTCTTTGCAGTTCAGTTTTATCCAGCGCTCCATACTGTTGAGAGGATTTTCTAACATTTTCCATGTTTTTTTTGTTTTTTTTGGGTTAACTAAATGTTGGCTTTTTATGAAGCTGGAGAAAGAATTCAAAGCTGCAGTCCGTGCAATAATCGAACAGAAAGCAGAAGTCTCTGACAGACTCCATGCACTGTTCATATAGAGCAGAGCAGGCAGCAGATGCTGAAGCCAGTCTGCACTGAGCCTGTCTTTCTACTAATCTGCGCTCAGAGGCGCCACCTACTGGAACAATCCAGCAAACTTCCCCACAATACTTTGCAACTCATTTTAACAGGCTTTGAAAGGAGATACAGCAGAACAGCCATGAATTACCAGTCTTCTGCTTCTTCATAGCTTAGCTGCACTTTTACCCCACAGTGTTTTATATCAAACTGTTTAAGTGATTTTGAATTTCAGTATTATGGCAATGGCTTTACCAGTTCTCAGCAAAGCAGAGACCAAGAAAAATCCAAAAAGTTAAAAAAAGATGTTTAACACAAAGGTTTGTAATTCTCACTTTAATCAGAGATGCATGGTGGACCTCACATATATTTTATTTTCTAATTTGATTTAAACAAACATTAGGCTGTGTCCAAACATCTGCCCTAACCCCTATCTATATATAGCACTATAAAGTCCTATATATGGATTAAGCCATTTTATATATGATGGTCCGGATGCAAAATTTCCTACTAAGCACCTTGAAAAGTAGTGTGCAACCGTGGCCACCAGACAAGCAGATATATCCCAGAATGCTTTGCAGTGGATCTCCTCACAAAGCATCATGGGATTTATTTTAGGGGCGAGAAAGAACAAAGATGGCACAGACACCTTGCGGGGAGCCGAAGTCATGTGACCCACAGGGAGCGAGTCGTGTTGATCACCTGTCTGAATGGTCAGTCAACTAAGTTCACTATAAAGTCCCCTATATAGTCCAAGCTCTATATAGTGCTTGAGGGATTAGGGGTTAGGACAGATGTTTGGACTCCGCTAGTTTTTTCTAACTGGGATGTAATCTTTTTATATATCTTGAAAATAAGCAGTGAAACAACATCAAATACATCTATTAGTAAATCATCCCTGGGAGCATCTGATGTCCGACCAGCGGGGGGCCTCGCTTCCTGGTTGACCAATTAAGGTCTGCCTTCAGTTTCCATGGTAACCAACTTCTGTAGTATCCAGAGGCTGGATAGCAATCACTGTTTTTCTAAGTTCTGCAGACTCTACACTGGAAGAAAGTAAATGTTCATCAGAGCAGATCAAAACCTAAAGCAACACACAACTGTCAAACATTTTAATATTAATAAGAAACTGAAAAGTGTGGGGTGCCTATATATTTGCCAGGTTTTACTCAGAAGCACCTATATGAAATGCTGTGCTGTAATTGCAGTTAAGGGAGGAACTACTGAGTATTAATTTGAAGGGCTGAATAGATGTTTTTTGAATAGTTTATATTTGAAAAAATTGCCAACCACACGGATGCCTTTCATTCCACTTCATGGTTATGATCCAATTTCAGTCTATGCAGTTTGTGAATATAAGGTGATTACATGTGAAAACATTTAAAAAGGGCTCTCGTTTTGTTGTTTGACTTTATCTATTCCTATACCAGTAGCTCACTCTAGTTGCAAACAGACTTTCTGATTAAACTATGACTATGTCCTGTTGGCTGATATTTCATTTTTGCTCTTTCCGTAAAGGTAAGCGTTTAATATATTTTCTAGGGCTGGAACTTTAACACAGTCATTTTTTAAACTTAAACATATCTTAAAGTATCCAAAAAAAATACTGTAGTTAATTAGTTTTTACATTTAATACACCTTAAAGCAACATTAATTGTCTGACTTAGGAGCTGCCTTAAAGGAGCTTCAGTGGTATATTTTTTAAACTCACACTTAATGTTGCATGTTAAACAGCAAATGCTACGCTATAAAAGGCAATGTTTTATAAACAGCTCTCCTGTCATATTTTTTCAGTTTTATAAAAATGTATTTCTGTAAAACTCCTAAAGGCAGTATTAGATGCCTTTTTGCTGTATATAACTCACACACATACTGTATATTTAACATATTCATGGGAAGGACTTGTGCTATAATTAATGTTCACACTTTTAAGGAGGCAGTTATCCAAAGACGTCTCAGAAAACAGGGTTTTCTGCAAACTAATTAGAGAGCCCGTAATTGACTCAAATAGAGTCTGACCACTAATATTTACCTTGAGAAGATAATGTTACTGGAAGCTCGGTGTTGTGAATGTGAACGATGAGTAAACAAGGATGTAAAGGAGCCAAGTCAGCATTTTTTCCATTGGCAGAGAGGGAAAAAAAGAGAAAAAATTTTAAAAAAGTGGTGAAGATACAAGGGATAAGACATGAGAACGGGACAGACTATGAACTTAAGTATTTATTCAAGCTTGAGTTGAAGTGGCAAAGTTGATGGCCTTATAAGCAAAAGCTGCCAGCAGATGGCGACAACTTACGTTTATATCTGCCGATTAAGTTCTGCGAAAGAAAAAATAGCTTTTCAGGCTTGAAAAAGACTAAGTAAATGTTATCAGGACAAAGGATTGCTGCACAATGTTTTATTTCGGAATGAATATACATTTTGCGTTTCTTTACATTCTTTGTTTAATAAGTATTTGGAACCAGGCACCTTTAAGGAGCAAAAACACTTTTCCTTAGTACTGAAGCAGTTTAAAGACTTTCTTCCATAAGAATGTCTTGGCATGTTGGGTTAATCATACAGATTCATTTATTAGTCTTCAAGCAAAATATAACATACATCACATCCATAATAATTTGACAGAAATGCTTGCACTTTACAGTCATTTTTAAATAACAAAACTGTTATCTTTATGCATTTTACAGCTTTCTTAATGTGACTCAGGTCAAACATTGGACTTTCCAGCTCCTTCTGGAAGCACACTGACAACAGTTTCCTACACAGATGCCCAGAAGAAACATCTAGGATGTTCTAACTCAAAGTTAAATATATATATATGATAAAAAGGTGCGTCCTTCTCTTTCTGTTCAATCTTACATGTTATTTCACAGTTTAGTGTCCAGGTTAAAGGACAGAAATGATGGCTGCAGCAGTCAGAGGAGGATCAGCGGCCTGCTGGGTGGAGTGTAACATAATGCCAGGCCAGTTCTGCCTGACCTTCTGCACACGACTTGAGTTTACACAGTACTAAAGGGCTTCTGTGTTTTTAGTGCTTGTAATCCTGCATTGTTTTTTGCAAAAACAACTTGGCCTAAAAACAACTTTCCACCTTTTACAAATATATAATAGTAAACTTTGACGAGGCTACGAGACGAGCATCAAAGTCTGACGGTACAACTGGCCCTTCTGCAGGATGACGGAAACGTCACGTTAAAACTGAATTCCAGTGAGCCATTTAAGTCGACTCATGGAAAGTAATCAAACCTGTCAGGGCAGAAAATCAGCCACCCTTGCCTGGCACGTGCTACTAAGGAGGGAGATGACAGACCTGTACCAACCCAAACAGCTATAGGAATCGTAACCGATAGGCCAGCGCTGACATATTGTTTTTATAATTCTATTTTTTAAACACATTTTATAAGAGATGCACCATTTCTTCACAGATACCAGATATATTCCAGGCCTTCTTGGATATCTTAACTTCTCACCCTAGTTGTAAACACTGGTTTTATTTGAGGTGCTGCTGCTTATCTGATAAAAGCGTAGTACTTTCATAAAGTATGTCAGCGACCAAATATCACATCAATCTCAACTTATCCCTACCATAAACCGTGGTGGTGACAGCATGATGCTGCAGGAAGCAGATGGCAAAAAACTGATAAAGCCTGTAGGAGACTTAAGTCATGTAAATGTTCAACTGTTAGCGGTTTAACCCTGAACATGCAAACTAAAAACACATTCATGTGTTAAATTGGCCTAGTCAAAGCACAGACCTAAATCCTATTGAGAATCGGTGGATTGGACTTAAAACTGGACGTTCACTTCATCTAATATTACTGACTTTAAGGTTTGTTGGTTTGTTTTTTCCCAAAGAAGTCCCCAGATGTTTAAAGCAGGTGCAGATATAACCCGAAAAGTCTGGGACATCTATTAAACTCAAATTAGCCCTGATGCTTTTTGGTGCAAGACTGAAACTCTGGGTAATTTTACGCTTTAGTGCATTTAGTGAACAGGAGATAAATACATTCCACCATATTTTCCGTATCGGACCTCCTGATCACTGATCGGAACAGAAAAAAAATGATCCAGTTTGATCTTCACTAGCCGACTGGTGCATCTCTAGATAGATCTTTTCTACATCATCAGGTCTGTTAGTTTGAGTGTCTGATTTTCCTTTCGTAGTTATTATTGCCTTGGTCATCCTCCATGGCCTTCTCTAGCCAGTCTCTCTCGGGATCAGAATCAGAGTCACTGGCCTCGCTTGCATCCGCTGCCAGAAGGCGCGAGTAGTTAATCCTGCGCTGGCGGGGGGCTTTCCACTGCAGCAAAGGGAGACACACACACCATGCCATGAGGCCGATGGCCACTCCTCTGAACAGCCAGGTAACCCCAAACCTCTGAACCACAAACCCTCCAGCAAAACTCCCGACTGCACTCCCTAGGCGCAGGCACAGGGAGCTGTATACCCTCCGGACACTTCTTTCAGCTCCAGGTGTTGCAACGTCCTCGCACTGGATCCCAACAGCCCACCAGAGGGCGCCGCTGCTGAAGGTACTTAGCACCTGTGCAGGCAAGGCTGTCCAGGGGCCCCAGAGAAAGGAGTAGTAGAAGACCTGCAACCCCAGACTGGCAGCCCCGACTACCAGCACCCTCCCTGGGCTGAGAAGTTTAGATACTCTGCCAGCCAGAAGGGGGAAAGCAGCCTGTGAGAGCAAAGCGAGGGCGAGACACAGTCCCATGTGCAGCTCAGTGCTTCCGTGATCCTCCATCTGCCAAAGCAGGAAGTTTTCCATCGCCGAGTTCACCACCCCCACCAGGATGATGGTAAAAGCACAGAGCAAAGCACGGGGGGAGCCGTGCACCAGCTGCATGGCCTTCAGGAGCCCGTTGGCCCTGCCGCGCTTTTTATTCAGGTACAGAGGGAGGTAGATGGCTACGGGGAGGGCCAGAACCGCCAGGCCCGCATAGGCGTAAAAATGCACCACACT